ATAAAGCTTTTAATGTGGTTTGACTAGTTCGTGTTTCTTGTTTGTCTCTCGGAAAAATCTCCATTTTCTCCATTTGGAGAACTCCAAATCTGCTAAAATATAAAGCAACAACACACAGCAACATGTTAATGGAGGCAGCCATGTTTGTTCCGAGATGTGGGTAGCTCGAACGGGAGTTTGTCGGACGTGATGTCACTCAACTCGGAATTTCCGAGTTCCGAGAGAAAAACGAACGCGCACCATAATTGTGGGAGGGGGGGGGGGGGTTTATCACAGGTTATCTCAGGTGGAGGCCAACTGTAAGGTAACTGTGTCCTTCATCAGGAAACATTTTCCATCTGTGTCTTTTTCCTCTTTCATCTGGGGCTTCCAGAGCACCGGGGTTCAAAACTCATGCAGCATTTATCTGTTTCTGATTTTGACCTGCTGACTAAAAATTGATTTTTGACCTTGAATTAACTGTGAGAGACTCATCTTGATGCTTTTTTTTGTGATGAGCTGAACCCCCCCCCCGTAAGTCATCACGAAAGTAATCTTGTAAATGGGCACCTCTTATCACAGAATCAAAAAATTTTCAGATTGTCTGTAGGCCTTGACTACATTCTGCCTCTTGCTTTCACTCTGCTTTGTCTGGTAAATTAGCATTAAAAGTAGATATTGCATGTGTGGCTTAATTTGATTAACAAACAGTGCTCTCAGCTGCAAGTGCTGCTGTTGTAATGGCTATGGCTGTTATTTGAGGAGGCTTAGTCACATGACTCTCTCTCTGTCCCTCCTTGCAGGTGTGATTGTTTCCACGCCCACAGGAAGCACAGCCTATGCAGTGGCTGCAGGTGCCTCCATGATCCACCCTAACGTCCCAGCTATCATGATCACGCCCATCTGTCCCCACTCCCTTTCATTCCGTCCAATCGTAGTGCCTGCAGGGGTGGAGCTTAAGGTAGGCCTTGGTACGAGGGGGGTGTCTCTCCAACATCTGCTTTGTTATCCTCAATAACGGAATAAACTTCTGACAGTACAGAGGCGGCTCTCTAAAAACGCTAAATTGTTTAGCAACTAGCACTGATAGACAGTGTTTCATGAGCAGTACTTTTATTTATTTTTTTTAGCCACATGCATTGTTTTTGCTTTCTGGGTGTCAGTAGTATAGGATGTGTTGTGATGATTTCACTCCAGGCGCCTGTTTCATGAACCGATTTATTGGTTAGCTAGATAACTTGGAGGTAGCCTGGGTTTTTGTGAATGAAGACAACGCCCATTTGAACTGGGCTACTGTCTGACAAGTAGTCTGGGCTACTGTCTGATAAGTCTGACAAGTTATCCAGCTAAGTAAGAAATCCAGCACGTAGCCAGCTAACTTCCAGTTAACTGCCCTTGACTCCTCAGATCATGCTCTCCCCTGATGCCCGAAACACAGCATGGGTCTCGCTGGATGGGCGGAAGAGGCAGGAAATCAGTCACGGTGATAGGTAGGTCACTCAACTTACTGCAGGACAGGCCAGGCACTCGCAAGCAGGAGTTTTTGCAAACTTTACGGCGTGTGGAAGCCCTGTGGTGCGCCCCAGACAGCTGGGAGGGAGCAAAAATGTGGACTTTCTGGCAGGGAGCTGGGAGGGAACAAAAATGTGGACTGTCTGGCTGGGAGCTGGGAGGGAGCAAAAATGTGGACTGTCTGGCTGGGAGCTGGGAGGGAGCAAAAATGTGGACTGTCTGGCTGGGAGCTGGGAGGGAGCAAAAATGTGCACTGTCTGGGGGTCCTGAGGACCTGGCTGGGAAACACTGCCTTACAGGAAGAGGATTGAGTTCTTTATAATGCAGCTGTAAAGTATAGAATGTAGTTTACTGCTAACCCATTTGCAGAAAGGAAACCTGACTAAGAGGCTGGAATGGCTGCTTGTGATTTTATATTTCTCTATACGTCTGTCTTCTGGACTGACTGACTGCCATGTCTTGTCTCCAAATCCCAGCATCACCATCACCACCTCCTGCTTCCCAGTCCCCTCCATCTGCTTTCGGGACCCCGTCAACGACTGGTTTGAAAGCCTGGCTCAGTGTCTGCACTGGAACGTGAGGAAGAGGCAGAATAACTTAAGTTCTGAAGAGGAGGAAGAGGAGTGTTAAGAATGGGGGGGGGGGTTGTGAGCACTTTGTGAAAATTCTTGGCTCCCGGGGGATTTTGTGGGGTGTGATCGGGATTCCTCTTGGCACTTTGTAAAGCTCTGTGTGGATTCTACAAGCTCTTCGGGGTTTTAACGATCCTGGTGAAGCTGTAGCTACAGAATCACATCAAAGAACTTTCTGGAGGTATTGCTAGGCAACACACTTTAACTTGTACCCTTCTTCAAAGAGGCAAAAACAAGTGTTGGGGAGCAGCTGAAATTAGCATCCCTCTTTGGCAATAAAAAAATAGGTGCCTTATGATGTACGAATATTAAAACAAGTGTAAATGGACTGTTAGTAACATTGTAATTAACAGAGAATACGATGTAATGAGACATATCAGCCTGACATCGGAATAAGAGAGCAGTTTATAGAAACGGTCATTCTGCAAAACTTGATGACAGTTCTGTAGTTTTTTTTTTTTTTTAAATCCATGCTTTTTGTCAGGTGTTCTTCATTAATGGCAAATGACATCCATCAAGTGTATGTAAGTGTGTTTTTGGCCTCTTCAGAGCTTGCAGTAAATGAAGGCATGTTCGTTACAGGTCACCCACCAGTGAAATGTTTGCCAGGTCTGCTCCAGCTTGTGTGACCATCACTGTGTTTATTATTACTATTATTATTATTATTTTTTTCAAATTGATGTTGGGTTTCACAGATATTTTTGTGCAGTATTCTTTTTTTACATTGGAAAGCTTTTTCCTTTGTAAGTTTAAGTTCTGTGGCTGTTTGTAGGGGCTCACCAATCTGTGTATTGGCCAGATAGAGATGAATCACACATCCACGCTGAACTGGGGACCGATGCTCTGAGTAGTGTTTTTCAAGGTGTTCTTCCTTTGATGGCCACGTGGCAGCATTCTCTCAGTACACCTCCTTCAGTACTCCCAAGAGCATCTGTCATGCTTTATGATGGCTAAGTGGTAGTATTCTCTTGGTGTTCCTCCTCAAGTACTCCCGAGAGCATCTGTCACGCTTTATGATGGCTAAGTGGTAGTATTCTCTTGGTATTCCTCCTCGAGTACTCCCGAGAGCATCTGTCATGCTTTATGATGGCTAAGTGGCAGTATTCTCTTGGTATTCCTCCTCGAGTACTCCCGAGAGCATCTGTCACGCTTTATGATGGCTATGGGGCAGTTTTGTCTCTGCATTCCTCCTCGAGTACTCCCGAGAGCATCTGTCATGCGTTATGATGACTAAGTGGTAGTATTCTCTTGGTATTCCTCCTCGAGTACTCCCGAGAGCATCTGTCACGCTTTATGATGGCTAAGTGGTAGTATTCTCTTGGTATTCCTCCTCGAGTACTCCCGAGAGCATCTGTCACGCTTTATGATGGCTAAGTGGCAGTATTCTCTTGGTATTCCTCCTCGAGTACTTCCGCCGATTCTCCTCCTCTAGCACTACTGAGAGCATCTGTCAGGGTCAGCTGATGCTGGGGAGGCAAGCTCAGACGGGAGAGGTGTGCAAAGTCTTAGGAATCCAGTCTTGACATACTACTTACGCATTACTAAACTGATATCGCAGTCAGAGTGTTTCCTAATTGATGCCAACCTCCATGACGTTTCTGGTGTATTTTAAATGTGGGGTGTTTGTCAGTATGTTGCATATAGATCAACAGTGAATATGACATGCCAGCTTCCTCTCTACGCCAGTTTACCAACCTACCAGCCACCCAGGTTAAACACAATGTCCTCACCCAGCGTGTGCCGCACACACACACACACGCACGCACACATGCACACATGAGGGGCTGAGCACTGTTTCTGGCATTCATATGTGTGTGTGATTTTGTCTGAACGTGATTTTTATTTCCACTGCTAGTCATGAAGTTCTTTGGAGTAACATTTTTCCTAAAATTATAAACTTTTATTGATAGCTGCCTTTGTTTACAGTTGACTGGCATTTTAGTCCCAGTGTACAGCATTGTAGCTGTACATAGCTGGACGTGTTCCTGTGTAGGACTCCTTGTCTGAAAGGTAGATACTCGAATGTGTATACCGCCCCCCCTCCCCCCCCGGCTTTGTTTGACCAGTCGTCTTTATCTGTAGTCTTTAATCAGTGGATAAGGCTTGTAAAATAATTGTCTTCTAGAAAATGTTTGCTGATTTAACTTTTTGGGTTTACACATTTTGTACAAAAGATTTAAATGATCATTCCTTGATTGAGATCTGCCCATTCCTACTGAGGTGCAAACATTCTGGATAACAAGATTGAATTTTTTCTCCATTGTGAGATGGCTGTGTATGTTTTATATAAAATAGTACGGCATATATTTAAAAAATCTTGGTGAACTTATTTAATTTTTTGGTCTTTATGGTCTTTTTTTATTTTGTGCCCCTTGCTAGAATTTTCTAATTGTTACATTCGTACTGAAAATACAGTGCTGTTTTTAAAGGCATTTTAATAAAACTGTATTAAACCTGATTTTTATTTTAGAGTTTGATTGGTCAAGATTATTTGAAATATTGCGGTTTTTGACTTGGTAAAACTGCAGCTTGCTGAGTTCCAGTTTACTGTTTCTTACAACTCAAGAAAAGCTAATTTTTGACAGCATATTCGTTCGCTAGTATGAGCAGAACACTGCCTGGGCTGTGGCCACTGTGGACTCTAAGGCTTATGCTGCATATTGTCACAGCATAACACAACCTTCTGGCATCCGTTTCATGAAGCATGGCACACAGTCGGATGCCGATCTCTCACAGGGTGCACAAATAACATTATTTAGCCGTAAACCATTCCTTTGGCCTGCGGGAGGTTTATTGCATTATGGGAACACATGCAGACTGCATGCCATACTCGTGTGTAATAGTGTTAATTATAGAAGCTCCGTACAGTCATGATACCAGTGAGCTGGCGCATATCTTATATTTGAATCCCAAGAGGGAAACTGGTGCCCACCTTTGCTTAGGAAGATGTGAAATCATCATTGAAGTACTGGGCCGTAACAAACACCAGTTCATGTGCTAAGCAGACCTAAGACTTGCTTTATTAGCCAGTGGATGCCAGGTCTCCAAGGTGACCTGCAGGGAGGGAGCTTACAATTTAACAATCCTTCCTACTTTTTCACGGTTACTTTGCTTAGATCCTGTATTGAACAAGCAGTCCTAAGAAGGACGGTTCTACTGAAGAACAGACCCCTCCTGGCCCTTGAACCAGAGCCCTGTCAGTAGGGTTCTCATTCTCATCCAGTGCACCTGGCTATCCGTGGCTACATGACTTGCTGCTTTTTTTGCTCGACTAATTGCTTTATTGGAAGTAAGTCGCCTCACCTGCTCATTAAGCTGTCGGTCAGCTGCTATTTAAGGGGCAGTTCACCCCAAAACTGAAAAAGATTTGTTTTAGAGGAGCTTTAGTGCTGCACAGAAGATTGGAGCTTGAGCACCTTGGCGAGATCATCTGCACGGTGGTGTGGCTGCTGTGGAGTTTGGTAGAAGACAGTTCTTCCTGCATTAAACTGCTCACTACACGATCAGTGGATTATCTTCAGTAACCGGCTCATAATCTCTGGTAAGAGACATAGCTGTTGGATTCTTGATATATTTTTCTGGTGCTTTAACCACCACAGAAATAATGTCATTCACCTCCATTATTTTCGAAAGAAGCTCAACAATTCTACAGCCGACACCTCAAAAACTAGGCAACTCCCCACAGAACAACTTAGACGGATAGATAGCACTAACACCCCAGACTAAAACGCACCTTTTTCAGTTTTGGGTTGAAATGACCCTTTATGGGTTTCAAAGAACATTTTAGTCTTGGAGTCCAGCTTGACCGTCACCTGAACTCCGGCTTCCACAGCCTTCTGTCACAGTTCCTCTGACTGGTTTTGAAAAAGGACCAATCGGGACATAAGGATGAGGAAGTTAAACTTGACTTATGTTCTGGAAAAACTTGGTGAGCCACAGATGTTGTTGCAGAGCTCCACTACAGGGTAATGCAAGAAACTTCACAGCTGTGTTTGATCTGCCCACATTTTATTATGTAAGTGGACAATCCAGCAATAAGAACCTAAAAGGTGCACAGCAATCCTTTAAAAACTGTTTCTTTTAGTTACTTTTAAAGAGGCTCACACAAGTGACATTTATTTTACTTTTATTACATATGGCAATCGCTTCACATTCATTTTAAATTTATCAAGTGTTAGAAAACAAGGAAACAATGAAAAAATAGCCAAAGGCCTTTAATCTGTCAGATTAAATACACACTTTGCATGAAAAACACATGGAGTGACAGTGCAAGGACCAGCTCCGACGGTACTTTTTAAATTACGTTAATATAGAAAGGTTACGTGTAAATATAAAAATATACTAGTAATGTTAAGCAATATAAAATTAAGCTCTGTTTTAGTTTGTAGTAGGAACTCTGTTCGAAATGGACACCCATTCCAGTTCATTGGACAGAAAATACCAAATGATTTCATATCTTTGGTGTCCCTCCCCAAGTCACTTCCATAGTGTCATCAGCTAGCTGGGAAAAAAAAAAACATACTTGGCATTCTGTGTAACCAGTGCATTGGTTCTCTGAATAAGAGAATGCTTAAAAATATTCTCGGCAAATGAAATGACAGGGACCCACCATATTAACGCTATTAAAAAGGCACATAAAACAGACACTTCAAAAGAAAAATAGTCTTGTAAAAAATCATCTAAGAGCCAGGGAGAGATTACTGTCTTGGCATTTAAGATATTAAGATATGCATGTGAGCTGATTAATGACTCAAGCTTATAAAACGGATACCTCATAACGGCATTCTACATGCAACACTACTGAAAATGGCCCAACATTCAGATTAATGGTATTTGCTCCCTTGTAAGTGCAGTGTGCATATTAATGTAATTTTTTTTTTTTTAATCATCATAACCACTCTTCCCATTTTAGTAGCATATAGAATACCGTTACCAACACCAGAGACATAAAAATGTGCAATAAAAAAAATCATTTAAAAATACAAATAGTATCAAAATACCCAATCAACAGTAGCAATTGTAGTACAAATCCGGACATGACAGCTTTTACTAATCCATCCCAAACTTTGCCCTGGTCATTTTCACAGTCCAGTCAGATGTTTACTCCTGCGGTGATGCAAACACTGAAACGTAAAAACAAATACTATTATATTCTCGTTGGCTATTGGGCAGAGCTTAGGTACCCTTAAAAGTGTAATAAAACCCCCATACAATTTCAACTGGTTAAAGGGACCATTTTGCAATGAACTTATCAATATACTGCGAGGCATTATGGGCCACAACTGCACCCCATCTCAAAGAATAATCTGAGACACGGGAAACTAGTGATGGACGAAATGATGCTTCATGAACCATTTGCTGTATTTTTTTGTCCCCACTAGATGGTGCTGTAAAGGGCTCAAAGCATGCTCCAAAGCAAACCAAAAGCACCATCTAGTGGGGTCAAAAAATACAGCAGATGGTTCATGAAGGACTCACTGCAGGCGACACTTACTCCGCTCCCTCAGGCCCTGACCGAAGCTGCGGTAGAGGCGGAACAGCGACCCAAACAGAACAACTTTGATCAGAACTGATATCAGGGAGCAAGTGATGGCGGCGGCCTCCAGGGCATATGATTTCTCATTTCCCCAGCCCACGATGATCTGTGTACAGATTAGCACAGGTCATGGCAGTCAGACACACGTGAGCAACGGTGAAGCAAACCAACACCCTGAGTACAGCACATTCATTTTACGTGTATTAATGTAAAGCTGCACACTCTACATGGAAACTAATAATACGTACAGTGATGAGTCTTAGAACACTTGCGCACATTTAGCGTAAAACACCAAACATTTGTGTTTAATATCCCTTTGGGAGCCAGTGACTACAATCGCAATTAACAGCAAATTGGCAAGAACAGAACTGAAGGAGTCGGTAAAAAAAAACTGACACTTAATAAAAAAAAATGTCTGTGTAGATAAATGCAGATGGATTCAGCATCGCTTGCCAAAGGGCTTTTGTTATGAAACCAATAAATTTGCAACATTATTACGGAATTAAGCAAGAGTCCCAAGACTTTCTGTGAGCGCTGTGTACGAGTATGCAACAGCCTAGGAGAGAGCTTAATATGGGCGGGAAGGGACACAACTTAAGAATGAAAGCAAATTAAATACTGGGGAGGACAAGCCCCCCACAACAGTTTCTGTGGGCATCCACTCAAGGCATTTATTACTGCTGCACTTTCAATTTATACGGTATTACTGCCAAAAAGTGTCAATGTATATACGGGGAATATATATGGTAAATATCAGAGCTGAAAATCACTGTATAAAAACAGCCAGTGACAATGGGGTATCACCTCACCGTGTACAGAAGGTAAATGAAATAAGCAAGTTCCGGCAGGTTCTGCAGGACGAAAATCCACACCAGGGGCTTCTTTTCTTTTAATACCTAAAAAATGAAATAGACATACATTTTTGACTTGAAATTGGCATCTCTGAACTGCCCTGGCATCCTCTCCAATACTGCACTACAAACCAAAATTGTATACCAAGAACCAAAGCACCATTATACAAGCACTGCTATGCAGTCTGTAATGAACCCAGAATTTCATTTTAGCATGCGGTCACCACCTTCACTGCACTGGAACGCTGCCATTTGTTTTTTATCGAGAGGAAAGGCTGCCCCCTGCTGGCCAACCAAGATCTCTTTCCACAGCAAGTTTTCCTTTACCGTCCTGAAGGTCTCACAAGCTCAAATAAGCTGCCACTACATCTCCCTGGATAGGTGAAAGAGGCTTCTTTTAATTAGACTCACACCAAATGCACACAGTAGCACAGAATCACGCACCGCTATGGCCCCAACCACCGCGGTCAGGAAGGCCCAGAAGATTCCAAATCCCAGGATGATGCTGTGGGAATAGGACACGCTGATGCCCGCCGTCATGATCAGGATGCAGAGGCACAGCTGAGGGGAAAGACAGGGCCTTTACACCCCAAGCACAACACAGCTGGATTTGCATCAAATTAATGTCCTTTTATCAATCTAGCATGTTTCAAAGGAGAACTGACATTAGTGAAAGTAGCAAAGCTTAGAACACAGATCAGCTTAGAACACAGATCAGCTTAAATAAAAATCAGATTCAAAGTAATCAACTTTATTTATTCTGATGTTAATTCCTTGTTTTTCTTGGCAAGTTCCTCATTTCAAAGAAACTGATAAAGTACAGCAGCACATCCTAACCTATGTGTCCACCTGCTAGGCAAATAGGTCAATGGATAACTACACAGTGGCAGCAGAGGAGACTGGGGGCATACTTGGGCTTGGAGGTCGAAGGTCACCATGGAGAAGCAGAGGTTGAGAAGGAAGTACTGCTCTTGCAAGCTCTCCAGAGCACCACCCACACGGAAAGCCATCATGTTGGGCATCTGGATGAGGAGCGAGCCGCAGATGAGGTGCACCAACCCCAGGGACAGGATGCACACAAACCGGGCCTGCAAGACCCACACATTCCTTGACTGCATTTTTTGTTATTACATCTGTTTACTTCAGCTCACAACTCAAGATGACTCACAGCTTCTCATGGTAAAAAGGTTATTCTGATACAGTACAAAAACTTCCTCTAGTATCTAAAGGCTTAAATGCAATGCACAAGCAAAAATGCATCAGACGACTACAGAAAAAACATATGCTTCAACATTCTGCAGACACCAGAATAATATCTGCCAAAGAATCAATAACATTCATTTAAACAGATTCAATAACCAATGAGGAAAATCCACATGCAAGGGCAAAAATGGCTAGTTGAAAACTAACAGTTAGAAAAATAAGAAACTGTTTAAAGAACTTAAATTGTATTAATGAGTAACGTTATCACAAGGACGGAATGTCAGGCTGGGTACCTGATTTAGGGGGTCATGGTAATGCACTGACCGGGAGTCAAACACACAACATCCTGATTACAAGCCTGTTTCCCTAAACTGCTGAACCACACCAAAGGCACAGCTCAGATATGGAACCATGTGGTTATTGGTTCAAAACCTCAGCAAGGTGAAATGCCGCTGCTCCTTTGATAAACATACACTACCCACTTTGCCACCAAATGAAATAACCAGTATCATGGAAGAGCAAAGCCCATGGGGGCATCCAGGGCTCCCAGTAAACACGCGACGCACCAGAATGGTGACCCTCTCCTCACTGGTGAGAACGATGAAGTTGACCACTGAGCGGATCATCAGCAGCAGCACGCAGAACACGAACACGATGAGTTCCTGCCGGTTCTCCTGAAGGACCCCCCGTGTGATGTAATACACACAGAAAGCTGCAGGGCAAAGGAAGCAGGCAGTGGGGGTTAGGGCGAGAGGCCAAACGCAACAAAACGGCAAAGACCCAACAACTGCCATCTTCCGGAAAGTTGCTTAAATGTGCTAGCAAGTTTGCTCCATGCAAGATCCTTCTCAAAAGGCGTGTTACAGCAAACCTCGAATTATTACACAACTTTGGAAACATGAATCATTTAACAATCTGACGACTTACCAGCAAATCTGACCCATTTCATGAAATTGCGCATTAAAATCTGTACAATTTCAGTCTAAATTGAAAAGCTTCCAGATCTTTGTTTTTTTTTTTTTAACCCAATAGGGAACTATCAAGGATCACTGATGGATCAATACAAGTACAAACATGTTCCACTTACTAATTCCCACAAGCTGTATGAGAGAAACTGTGAAATCCTCCTCGTGGCTGTATGTCTCTCGGCTTTCATTATAGATGTTATACACAGTGAGACCAAAAATCGCCAGCAGAGACACAATAGTGAAACAGTAATAGAGTTTAACCAGGCAGGAAAGTTCAGACCAGGATTTTATCTGAAGGAAGAACAGAAAGAATTTCAGATCAATTTTAAATGCTCCTGTTTCTGGAACAGCAGATAAATCATGATCTCATAAAATTAACTGAAAACCAAGGAAGTAATAGGCCTAGTTTTCATAACACTGAATTTAACCCAAGACACTACAATATAAAGCAAACAAACATTGCTTTAGATTAAATAAAGCCGGGATCGCAGGGCAAAGCGGGGTTCACAGCCAAGCACGGCGCAATTGGATGGGCTTTAAGCTGACAATGAAAGTACAAAAACTGCGAAATAACTGATTTAACCCGCACTCCTACTGATACTTTATTGATTTGAACAGGGTCAAATCAGGTTCGCCATTGGAATCTGTAAATATATATCTGTATGTATTTGTAGGGGACTGGAGTGCAGTGGGTCATACGCACCGGGCCGCAGGGTGTGGGGATGAGCTCCTGGTGTCTCGGCCGTAAGTTTGGAGACAGCAAATCGGCCCCCGCTTGGTTCCGGTCCGGCAGCAGCGGACTGTATTACGGGACAGGGTGGATATTTTACCGGCTTAAAACAAAAGCTTTGTCTGTGCAATTGCTTATTTCCAGTAACGTAGTTTCTCAGCGTCCACGAATGTGAATAAATGTCCTCTTCAGAATTATGCAGACTAGATTTCCATCTCATTCCTGGAACCTTGGATTAGACATTAATTATGCTTACCATCACAAACATGACTGGAGAACCAATAACAATGCTTTAATGAACGGATGAAAGAGGCCGAATTCATCTGTATGGGGATCGCCTTCCGAAACATGCGAGGCTCGGATGGGGTTTACCAGTCACACCAGCTATATCTGTCACTGCTATAGGAACTACTAAGGCTGACCCAGTCGATCGGTGTTATACCGGATTCGGGTAAGTTTTTCCCGAAAGACACGTTTTATTGCGCCACACCTTTCACACCACAATCAAACCAATTACGCAGATTAAGACAATTACCACTGCACCCAGTTACGGGAATCGGCTTTGTCATCAGTAGCTGCGTGGTTCAATAACCAAATGAACCCGGTAAAACGCGTATATACTCACATATTTTATGGTGGAAAAGCAGCAGTAAGCCTTCGTGTAGACTAACCAGCTGACTAGTTAACATACACATCCTAACAGAGCCCCCCCCACCCCGAGCCATTACTGTGAAGAATAATGAAATACGTCGGAGTGCCGGTTACACTTCCTCGGTAAAGGCTACCGGACCGCATCCCCTTTCGGGCTCCTTAACGCGCTTTGTGGCTGTAATCCGTCCAGGATTTATATGCACTTGTGAAAACTAAGCACTAGTGTCGCTTATTAAGTTGCCAAATAGGTCGACTTTTCAGGTTATGTCAAGTGAAATGCCTTTTATATGTGCGTTTTGAGTCATGTCTTTAGTCTCTTTTTATGCAGATACAAAACTGTTTCTCCGTGCATGATCGAATTAGTTACATCGCTTAGCTATTCAGTTATCTAGCTAGTTAAGCATACTCACCCGTTGTCGTCCATTTTCTAAGAAAATTCACTGGATACTTCCGTACATATCGTATGATGTCGACAGACTGTACAGAACTTATTACATGAGGGAGACTGGGGGAAATGTAAAACTACAATCAAACAAGTATTACTCCACTGCTTTCTTATTTAAATGAGTCCATTCCATAAATACCAACGCAGCGAGCATCAGAAATTCATCTTAAGTCTACGAAACGTAAAGTTACGTAGCCTACGTAGAGCGTTGTTGTGTTTCTGTAGAGTAAAGCTGCGTAGACTGCGCAAGACCTCCATAATTTCGGATGTGAATATTGCGCAATGTGCGTACGGCATGGTTTTCCGAAGCTTAAAGTTGCGTAGAAGGCGTGTAATCAGATTTTTTTTTCTCTCAGGGGCGTAAAAAAGGACCTATTTCATGGTCTGGTTGTCACTGGCAGAATGGTTTAGCAATACCCTGATAAAACATCTTCATAAAAACAACAGCTTACAAATGCAGTTGTAACAACACCCTTAGCGTTTCTACTATGTCCGCTTCCACTGCCTCCCACTCATTATTATTTTGCCCGTTTTTTGGCAGCTTTGGTAATACATGTACGTTAATTAGAATCCTGGTCAGGGTTGCAGGGTGGAGGGTAGGAGTTAGTGCTTATCTTAGGCAGCACAGGCTGAAGGCTGAGGTGCACCAAACACACCAGGATCCCAGTCCATCACAGGCACAAAATTAATACACGAAACCATTGACTACAGCAATATAGAGAATCTGCTAGAGATGCTGGTTAGCCGAACTGCTTATCTCTGGACTGCAAGAGTAAACTTGAGTGCCCAGAGGGATATTTAAACTCCACGCTCCCAGAGCGGAGATGGGATTTTAACTCCAAAACCAGGGAGGTGTAAAGTAACTGAGCCGTCCTACAGCAAAACAGCAACAGTATTTTTAAGGATAACAAATATGAATTAATAAGGTTGTAATTGTCCCTATCCTGACCTTAATCCGAGTTATACTTTATGCTTATACTTCACCAGTAATTACAACAGTAATTTTCTCCAAATGTCACCATTCAGTTGGTCTCGATGTGTTTGGTGGTGAATTAGTGAGTAGTAGGTTACGGATTTGTGTCCAAAAGACCGTGGATTTGAATCCCAATGATGGCAGATTAACCGTATCATCGACTGCCTGCAATACAGTTGCGTGCCACTGCGGGGCGCCCATGTTTCGACGAAACAGGTGAACAGGCAGGTTTTGGAATAGACACAATTACATAAAGTTCTTAAAAAATTAATACAGTGAATGCGACAATAACTACTCCATTTTATTACACATGTAAAACATTCTATTTAACTCTTCGTAGCTTGGGGAAAACAATAAAACTGCTTGCTTGAAATTAAACAGTCTTCTCACAAGTATGTTGTTATGTTGTTATTTATATAAATTCTTTATGTCCGACATGGGGATTGCACCTAATTTCGTTGTACTTGTTACAATGACAATAAAGTTATTCTGATTCTGATCTGCAGGACAGTGTTTACAGCACACATATTTACAAAAGCAATTCTTTAATTTGTGCCAAGACTTTATGTGATATGAAAGTGTCGTAGAATATTACATGTGCATTTTGTAAATGCTGTTAGAGCAGGGAATATGAATTCAGTTGTGATTTCAATTAAAACTTTACTGTTATGCCACTGAATTACTTTTCCGCCAAAGTTTGTACAGTGGACCCTTGAGTTATAACTGGCCTGACATACGAACAACTTGGGTTATGACCAAAATTTTAGTTTTGACCAAAGTCTTGAGTTACGACCCGAATGCCAGTCGAGGCCAAAACGTGTATCCGCTTGTGCGGTTGTGAACAAAGAGCCGAGAGGCGCCCGAAAGCATCAATCTGAGCCCAGATACACCTGTTTGTGGGCGTCATTTCGGTCAGTGCAGTGCTTTATATAAATAATTTCGCTAATTGCTATCAAAATGGCACCAAAGAAGCTAAGGAAGGAAGAGAAGGTAAAGAAAGCAATCACTAACGAAACGAAGAAGGAAATTGTGGAGAAATATGAGAGTGGCGTTTGTGTGCCTACACACTCTCATCACATGAGGCTGGGCATTGTGCTGCACCAAGAGGAAGCCGGGGCCCATGGCACCAGCGTATGGTCTGGCAGTGGGTCTAAGGATTTCATCCCAGTATCTAACAGCCCGTGGAGGTTAGTGCTGCCCTCCAAAAATATGCCTCCCAAGACCATCACCATTACCCACCAAACAAGCCAATGGTGAACTTGCCAGTTCAGGTGGTCTCTGGCGAATTCCAATCAAGCTGCATGGTGCAGGGCTGTGAGCGCAGGTCCCACTAGTGGCCATTGGTTCCTCCTGCCACCCTAATAGAATATATTTCCAGCACTTCGGTCAGAAATATGCAAATGAGCTGGAGGTGGTCTCAGTCAGTGCTCCTCCTGTTTCTCCTCACACAAAGAGGCAGACATCGGTCTTGGTGCTGGGTGGTTGCCCTTCTGCGGCCCTGTCCAGCTCTCCTCACGTAAAGGTCTGTCTCCTGGTATCTCCTCCACACTCTTGAGACTGTGCTGGGAGACCCAGCAAACCTTTTTTCAATGACACCTATGGATGTGCCACTCGGGATGAGTTGGAGGTGGTCTCAGTCAGTGCTCCTCCTGTTTCTCCTCACACAAAGAGGCAGACACCTATGGATGTGCCACCCAGCATGAGCTGGCATCCTGGAGGCCAGGCAGCGTCTTTCCCCCCTGAAACAGCTCAGGAAATTTCGGGTGTCTCCAGGGATTCTCGGGACTTCTTTCTCCGGTGCTGTGGAAAATGTCCTGACCCAGAACATCACATCCTGGTACAGAAACAGTTGTATACAGGACATTAAGGGACTACAGAGAGTGATTCGGGCAGCAGAGCGCTGCACCAGATCTTCTCTACCATCTATGGAGGACATTTATACCAGGAGATGCCAGAGCAGAGCAATCAGGATCATCAGAGACTCGTCTCATCTGAGTAACTGTCTGTTTGAGCTGCTGAAATCAGGCAGGCGCTTTAGGAGTATTACGGCAAAAACAGAGAGACTCATGGGAAGCTTCTATCCTCACGCCATAAGACTTCTTAATCAGGACATGACACCACTACATCCTTAACATACACAACCCATGTAAACAAGTGCTACCTGTCACCAACCTGCTATTTTAACAATCTGTAAATGACATATCCATCCATCTTTGCATATATTTATACTTATGTCACCTGCAACAAGTCACACTGCATCTTAAATACATAGTTCTATCATATGCACATGTACAGTTTAAACCTTAAGAATATTTTCTATATTAGAACAAATTATGATTTGATTATTAATTCTATTTTTGATTTGCACAGTCTAAGGGTTGTTCAGGATTTAGCCCAAACTAAAACCCTGGGTTCCATTAAATCGTAGCTAGATAAGATTTTAATAGCTCTGAGCTATTACTTGAGTTCTCCCCAAATGAGCTTGTTGGGCCGAATGGCCTCCTCTCATCTGTAAATTTCTTATGTTCTTATGATACATTTCATTACATGTTGTACTTACTGTAATTAGAAGGTGGCTGGTTCAAACCCAGCCTCAGCACATCTACAGATCCTTGAGCAAGGCCCTTAACCCCCAGCTCCCTGGGCACCTCAACAGGTGGCTGCCCTTCACAGACAGCTCACTCTACAAAATAGAGAAAGTTGAGGGAGGCATAAAGACAATTTCCCCACAGGGATCAATAAAAGTATCAAGTATTATTATTATTGCTGTTACCCCTCTTGTCCACCTGTTGTTGCTTCCATATGCACCAAAGCAACTGAAATTGAAGTTGTTTATATTTCCTTCGTGGACATATTGGTATCCCAGAAGTTTAACTGACTTGGTGTTATACTGTGACGATTAAGTGTTCCCTTAATTTTTTGATCAATGAATTCCTTCAGCACTGTGGTGCATTCCAAGTGGAAAAATATCATTTCCCTTACTTTTTAAATTGCAATGAAAGATGTTTATAATTGATGTATGTTTCACATAAAATCGCTTAGAAATTCAGATATAATTTTTATTGTTTATTTTTTTCATGCAGGTCGCATGAAATAGGTATCCACCCGTTCCTCATAATACGGGATCGTCCCGCATTGGAAAACTGCTGCGTCCCGTATTATAAGGGACGGGTGACATCCCAAGCATGAAAGGTTAAAATGAGGCCATTCTAAGATAGATGTGGCCATCTGTGTTCCCATGTAATCTGAATGCGGTGCAAAAGGGATGTATTTCGGTTTACTCGGCGTTTAAAATCTGAATGCCAATACAGGTGCAGTGCTGTCACTCGCACCAACGTGCGTCATGCAGCGTTTCTGATAAAAGTCGATGCATTAACTCGTGTGGAAACGGCACGCAGATATAGAGCTTTGCACTTGATTAATCGGTATAACTGCGGCCCTCAACGATCGCGCTGCTATTTTAAGGTCTCCGATTAATAGTGGAATTGCGTGAGTTTCTAATCAGCTCAGATCAGCAAAGTCACGCCAACTTACTGTTTTCAACTCCGTGAAGGAAACTGAACATCCAGCTTCCTGTGAGTTTTTTCTTCCTTTTCTCTGCTCACAATGGCGTTTGAGATTGGTTCGATGGGAGCGGGGCGCTTTAGTGGCTGGTGAGGAATTGCATTGTGATTGTAACTCTGATGCATTCTTTTTAGTTTTATTTAACGAAAATTAACAGCTCAGCTGGATCTATTTAGTTCGATATTTTGATCTGTGCTTTTCTTAGCCATTGTGTACTATGTAGCATTGTGTATATATTGTACTGAGCATAAGCGTACGAGGCAACAGACCGGCGTTAGCCGACAGGTTCTCATAACTAGCTAGCATAATTTTTGTTTTGCTTCATATCGTTACCAGTTTTTGTAGGATTGTCAGGATGATGCTCAACAAACGAATATTAACGCAAGCAATGAAAAGTGAAATGAGGTGCTTGTGAAATGTGCGGTATAGTCCAGCAGGATCCTATAGATGCTGATGCACAGGATCATTCAGCATGTAGCAGATATTTGTCAATTCTCAGGGGCAACATCTGGCCTCGATTTCAATGCCCGTCTTTTAAAATCGCTGTTTATTGCTCACCGCTGTGACGCACCTTTGAAATCTTCTACGAAGTATTTTTTACTTGCGCCTGTTATTGACTTTTCTAAATTTCACGGAGCCTCAAAGATTTTTTTTCTTTCGCTGAAGGCAGATCAATATATAGTCGAAGATCTGATTGTGTTTTGGGGAGCAGTGTGCTGCCACGTCTCATGCCGGCCTCTCGGGTGGTCGGTGTCCCGCCGATGGCTTGGATCACACACGAAAGCCCCCCTCTCCGTGGCTCCTGTTTGATGGCTTGCAATTCCTGCAGTTTTCGGCCGATGGAGGGGGCCATGCGTCTCATGTGTCGTGCTTTTCCGTGTCATGCATGCAGAATCCCGCGTGGATCGGGCTGTTTAAACAAATGTAACTGTGTCAATAACATGGTTGTTGGCAGTTTAAACTCCTTGTCTGTTCATAGCTAATTTAGTCGATCTAGACGGATTCGAGGGCGGACATACAGGACATACTTCAGATTCAGAATTTTCCATTTTTAGCTCTGAAAGTCTTCGGTATTGTCTTAACAGTGTGTTTGAGATCATTATCTTGTCGCAGGATGAATTGCCGTCCAATGAGTTTAGAGGCATTGGAACTTGAGCAGATAAGATATTTTTACACACCTGACAATTCTTTGTGTGACAGCCGTCAGCATTCACATCGTCAGTGAAGATAAATGCGCCTCTACCTGGGCAGCCAAACATGCCCAAGCAATAACCCCCCCACCACCAAACGAGCTGGTTTGCTTTGGATGTTGGGCAGTTGCTTTTCATCTCCACACTTTCCATTTGCCATCACTCAGGTCTCCTCTGGTTTCCTTTGTCCATAAGACCTTTTTCAAGAATTTTGCAGGCTCTTTTAAGTACTTTTTCCCAAACTGTAATCTGGTCATCCTGTTTTTGTGGCTAACTAGTAGTTTGCATCTTGCAGTGTAGCCTCTGCATTTCTGTTCATGGAGTCTTCTCCGGATAGTCGTCTCTGACAGAGACACGGCTGCCTCCTGAAGATCGTTTCTGATCTGCTGGACGGGCATCTGGGATTTTTCTTTACCTCGGCCTACTGGTCCCTTTGTGATCACTGAGCTCACCAGTGCTTTCTTCCTTCATAATGATATTCCAGACAGTTGATTTTATAATCCTAAGGTGTGACTGATGTCTATAATGGTTTTATTTTTGTTTTTCAGCCTCATAATAGCTTCTCTGACTTTCATTGGCACAGCTTTTCTCATCTTGTATTAGAATGGCAACTACAGACTCCGAATGGTAGAAGCCAGCCCTGTGAAAGCATCTGTGAAACCAAATGTCCCGAACATTATGTGGCCCTGAATGGAGGGAATATGTATGGAAAAGTGTTGTGTTCTACATGGTGAACCTGAAATGTATGCAAGTAGCTTGAACACCTGGAATCTGCATTTTTATCACGTCTAAATTGTTTGACTTGAAATTTTAAACTGTGGAACAGAGGGGTAAATCGAGGAAAAATGTGTCTTTGTCCCAAACATTATGGAGGGCCCTGTACTGTAACTGGCATCAGTTGTTTATGGTGGAGACAAGTGAAATACTCATTGATGGGGAGATACCAGTGTTGCGTAAACATCTGTAGTCCAGGTAACAACACTGCATAAACTGAAGTCATGCGTTTAGATACGCTCTGGAAACTCCCTGGGATGTCTGTGGGATCGGCGGTTTTGGGGTGCGCCGCTCTGGGCACCGCCTCCGTCCCCTGACAGCTTGAGTGACGCTCTGAAGGTCTGGAGCTCTGAATGTGAATAAGCAGTTAACAGAAAAAGATCTGCAGAACCTGCAGACAGCGAAACCTTCGTGTTGGAGGATTCCACGTCTTGTCCTAAAATTCTGTAACATTGATGTTTCCTTTAAATCTGTATTTATTAAGACTGCAGAAATTCAAGGTTAGTAATTTGCTCTGGAGTTTAAGAATATTGTAATTTGGAATTGGGTTTTACTAACTAATAAACCAGTGTTCTCTGCTGTGGTAAGACAGTCGTGTGTGTGTGTGTGTGTGTGTGTGTGTGTGTGTATAAGCTCTGTCTACATTTTTTTCACAAGAGTTTTATTTGATGTGGACAAATGCAAGATATTGCACACATTACAGTTGCTGCCTGAGTGATGTGAAAGCCAGTGTGACACTGCTGTCAGACTGTGCCTTAGCAGAAACACCTTCTGGGTGAGCTGGTCTCTTAAGCATGTAAAAGTATTAGGACAAAGTAGGAATGTATGAATAACTGTGTCAGACATTGGTACATGTCACTTAGTAAATATTGGGATATTTTCTCCAAAAACTAGCAAAGAAGAGTAGGGGACCTGCTATGGTGAGGTGTTTGTCCTCCAGTTGAGTGCTAAGTTGCCATCATTTTTCCAGTAATTAACCATTTAAGGAATGGCTTGGTTGCCTGGTTAATAAAATGCTGCACTTGCTCTTCTGTTCCAGGCACCTGCTTACGGACCTTGAGTAATGCAGTCAGGCTCTGCACCATAAGCACGTCTGGAATTTGTGAGGTCGGCCGCCACCATCTGAATGACGGACTGATGGCTCCGCCGCACCTCTGTTAGCCGCGTGTGGGCGAGGCGGCACCTCCATGGCGACGGGGGGAGGCCTCTTCTCCTCCTTCAGGGGCCGGCAGGAGGTGGTGCTGGCCCGCAGCGAGAGCTCGCCGGGGGAGCAGGTGCTCAAGATAACCATCACGGAGACCACCGTGATAGAGGCGGACTCGGGGGTGTGGAACCCCAAATCGCTGACCTACCTCACCATTTGGTACTTCTTCAGCTTCTGCACGCTCTTCCTCAACAAGTACATCCTGTCTCTGCTGGAGGGGGAGCCTGGCATGCTGGGTAAGCTTAGCATCCCTGAATTACGTTTCGCCCTGGGGGGTGCTTGGGCGTTTTGCAGCCAGATAACACCATGGCGTTGGTGACCTTTGTTTATTCGGGGTCTCGGGATGTCTGTCGGGTCGTGATGTAGCAGCGGCGAAGCGGAAAACCGCCGTAAAGCCCGTTACTACTGGCAGCTTTTTCGTCTGCTGGCTTGATTTTGTTTTTCTAAAGGCTGAAAAATGGAAGCAATGTGTTCAGATTATGGAAGCTACTGCAGTGCAGTGCAGTAATGTAGCAAAGAATATCGGCTTGAGCAGGAATAAAACAATATTTTCCGTTTGAAAGTGACACTGCGGTGCGTGGCTTTTCAAGGCTGTGGTTTTCAGTTCAAGAGTAGACGTCTTCTGCAAAATACTCATTTTAATTTGCATTTCCTTTGTATTAAAGGGCATTTAGAAATGTAGCCCCAGAGTTTACTGATGCTACCCAGCACCTGTTTTTTTTTTTAAACAGCAAAGTGTATTTTAGAGCCCTGTAGCATCTGTAAGATTAGGCTACGAAGGGATTGAAGTCTGCATTCCGGCGGGTTTGGCGGCCGCTCGTCATGCTGAATCTGGTCCCTCAGGTGCGGTTCAGATGCTCTCCACCACGGTCATTGGCTGCATGAAGATGTACGTCCCCTGCTGTCTGTACCAGCACAAATCCAGGGTGGAGTACCCACCCAACTTCCTCATGATCATGCTCTTCGTGGGACTGATGAGGTGACTCAGCTTTCCTTTCCACATCGCATGTTGTTGTGAAAGTGTCCGCACTCCCCAGCCAGTGTGAGAATGTCCTCCACATGACCCCAAGACGCACATGATCAGATTACTCAGTGACTGCTGCTCTGTGCGAGTCTGTGCACCATGTAACAGTCTGGTATCCCAACTAGAGGGTGCATCTTTGCCCTGCACATCCAGGGGGCGTGGCTTTGCCCTGCACGTCCATTGGGGCGCGGCTTTGCCCTGCACATCCATTGGGGCGCGGCTTTGCCCTGCACATCCATTGGGGCGCGGCTTTGCCCTGCACATCCATTGGGGCGCGGCTTTGCCCTGCACGTCCAGGGGGGGCGGCTTTGCCCTGCACATCTAGAGTGTGGCAGCTTCTTGAAAATGAATGTATACTGATGTCGCACCTCCAAGGCTTTTGTTTGCTTATTCTGAGCTTCAGGAACTTTGCAAAATAGTAAAATAAGTGTATTTAATCCTGCCTTGTTAAGTAAATTTGCTTTTCATTGCACGTCATTTTTGAAAGCTATATAAAGGTTTTTTTTTTTAATCTGAAAGCTTTATTATAAATGAAATGTGCATAACTGCTACTACAGAAATGGAGCCAAAGCAGAGGTGTGTGTGTGTGTGTGTGTGTGTGTGTGTGTGTGTGTGTGCGTGCGCATCCCAAAACTCTGAGCCCTGTGCTTCTCTTCCAGGGTAGGTGGCTGGGTCCCTGTGCTGGTGACTGGCTGGGTCCCTGTGCTGGTGACTGGCTGGGTCCCTGTGCTGGTGACTGGCTGGGTCCCTGTGCTGGTGACTGGCTGGGTCCCTGTGCTGGTGACTGGCTGGGTCCCTGTGCTGGTGACTGGCTGGGTCCCTGTGCTGGTGACTGGCTGGGTCCCTGTGCTGGTGACTGGCTGGGTCCCTGTGCTGGTGACTGGCTGGGTCCCTGTGCTGGTGACTGGCTGGGTCCCTGTGCTGGTGACTTCTAAAGTGCTGCTTTCTTTTCAATAGTGGTGCCCCTGGCATAAAGCAGAGGGTTCTGCCACAGCCCCGCCCACCGATACGCATCATGGTGGGTTGTCTGGCCTGGCTGTGGGCAGCTGCTCCGGAGGCTGAGAAGCTCGGCTGCAGAGGGGCTGGTGGGGGGGGAGATGATGGTGTTGAAAGCCAAAGAATGTGATGTGCATTAGCAGGATAGAGAGAACAGAACAGAAGGCCTTTGCTGTTATTGTACAGAGCACAACAGGTGCTGTGATTTCAGTCCTTATAGGACCCATCCAGCACAGCGATGAGACACAGTTGTACACAGCTGAGAGCACAGTCTGCCGTTTATCCGCCACACCTGGAGCAGACGCTCAAGGTGTTATAATTACTCTCCTAACCAAAGGGTTTAAACCAACAACCTTCTGATCATTGTGACCCGCAAAGCCGCCCCCGTCTCTCCTGATGACAGTTACTGAGGACTGTGAGTTTTGGCACAGGTACGATGTTTGCTGACTTGAGGCACACTGGGACATTGTCCTGGGACAGAGATGGATGGATAATGTTGCTGAATAGCTGCTGAGTGCTGTACCTATGAACCTGTCGGTGTGTTCTGGGCTTCCGCACTGTGGAGTGTGTATCTTGAGTAATGTGTGTATGATATGAATGCTTGATAGGTTTCTCTTTGGCAAGCCTCTCATTACATTGCCGCTATTTCCTTTGTCAAAGCATGTAAAGATGCAGTTTAGCATCTCTGTTCACAAGATGCTGTCGCTTGTGGGGGTGGGGGGTGGCGGTCCTGACTTTGAAATCACTCATGGTTCGGGTACCTTGCTGTAGCTGTTGGGGGTTGTTATTTTTGAAATGTTTCTCCTTGGAGGGGTTTTCTGCAGGGAGCCTTGGCACCGTTGATGTCTCTCTTCAGGTTGGACCTGCCGGCGCTGTTGGTTTCCTGCTGCATTGTGAGCTCTCACCAGATTCTGAACCTCATTAGTCATCCTGGGTTTCTCGTTAGGAAACACCCAAACGCATTTTTCAACAGTGACATTGTTGGCAGTGGTTTTTATGGAGGACCCGGTACTTTGGATATGTAATCCGCGATGTCCGTGTTCCCCTCGTCTGTGTTGTGTTGTGCAAATAAGTCCCAGTGCGTGCATTCAGAGCAGTCCTTAAGCTGTCTTTACTGTACGGATGAATGGTTTTGCCGTGATTTTTGGTGGTTTCTAGGCCATGGTTAAGAACAGAGAGATGTGAGCATTCTGACCCCAGTGGGAGTGTCTGAGGCTTTGTGTTCATCTTTCTGTAAACATGATTGTGTGTCTGTGCCTTTTGTTAGACATTTTACATGTCAGTTATATTCTAGCCTGACTAAACTCTGCAGCTGTGATAAAGGCCCCTTCAGGGTACGTGCTTTGCTATTTGCTAATAGCTGCTAGCGGATCGCCAAGTGCTGCTTTAGCGTTAGCATGTGCTGTTATGCACGTGGCTGTAATAATGCCGGTGAACCGGCATGGCGAGCAAGCGGGCTTCCTTCTTATTAGGCATTCCTGATCCGAGGAACAGTGCCTACCGCTGGTGGACAGAGTGAGATGCCAGCTGTGTCCGGCATCATGGAGCGTAGCCAGGATTCTGTAAAAACCATGACCGCCGTTCCAGTAAGGACCCCTGAGCAGGATGTCGGCCGCTTTGTTAGACGGCGTGTGGATGCCAGGGCTGAAAATGCTTGGGAGAGAAGGTTTGTGGGGAGGATCCCTCAGTCCGGCCCGGATCCACACTGCATATCACACTGTATATTTATATATTTAAAAAAACCCTATTTAGTTAGTTATTCTTCCATATGTATATATCACTGCAGAACTTTTTGCTTTGTTTGTTGTTGTTCTACATACATGTTTGCACTGGAGGAGCTGCTTTTCATCTCATTGTACATGTGTATAGTGACAGTCTTCTATTCCTATTCTATTCTATTCTATTCTATCCCCGCCTGCTCACCTCTTCTCAGCTGCCTTTCCCTGCGCTGCCGTCATTTCCTGCCAGCTGGAACTGTGATCTGCGGGGTCCTCGTTGCTCCCAGGCAATGCCGTCAAAGTCTTGTTTGCAGAATCTTCTGATGTGTCACCAGTGCTTGACTGCAGTGTGAGATGTTTGCAAGTCAGTTGAAAATGTTTGAATGAGCCAAGAGAAAGAAACAGAGAGTTCCTTTTCGGGGGAAGGTATATGTGCCGTATCTCTATGCATCTTCATAGAATCTCCTGAGGTGTTATCCCTTTGGAAAGGCGCAAGAGCGGGATCTGCTCTGGTCTGCATGGAGGTCCTGAACACGGCTTGAGGCTGGATGTCATGTGCTTTACAGGTTCACCACCGTGGTGCTGGGCCTGGTCAGTCTAAAGAATGTGGCCGTCTCCTTTGCTGAGACTGTGAAGAGCTCTGCTCCCATCTTCACAGTCATCATGTCCAGGCTCATATTAGGAGAGTATACAGGTAACGCTAAACCCAGCGTCTTTGACTTTAGTAGTAGTATTAGTACTTCATTGATCCCGATGGAAATTCCAAAAGTTGCAGCAGCATAGACAAAAAGTGACAATCACTGTACATATACAAAAGACACAGGACACAATACTGTACAAAAGACACAAAATACTAGATTACAATGTGCAAAATAATGTTTGCAGTCATGTAAATACAATACTGTTCTAGACGGCTGGCGACTGAGAAGGGGTCGGGAGGGGTACTTATTGTACTTTTTGATGGTCATTAGGAGCAAAGACCTTAGATACCACAGTATCAAGTAAGTCACTCAAGTCCCATGTGAAAACAAGCATGTTTTGAGTCAATTCTCAAGTCAAGATAGTTTGTACTGTATAACTTTGGAAAAAAGTTTAAATTGGGGGGGGGGAAAAAACTATACTCAGACTTGTAGCATGGAACTTGAGACTTTGGTTTGCTGACTTTGGACTTCACTTGGTGTTAGACTGTTGACTTGACTTGCCTGTTCTTACTCTGACTTGGAACTTGAGTGGTAACACTTGACGTACTTGTTACTTGAAAGTCAATGACTTGTTCCCACCTCTGATAAAAGCTAAATAGTAATAATTAGCATTTGCTGTATTGGGTTGGGGCATGTTTATGTAGCCACTCTGTATACAATGGCTCAGTATCATTAAATGCATCTTGGTGCTGCTGAAGTCGGCATGCATCACTGGCGTGTGTATTGAGCCGCGTAGCCGCGCCGCTAACCAGGGCTGACTTTCACACTGCATTTACAGGGATGTGGGTGAACCTGTCCCTCTTCCCGGTGATGGCGGGCTTGGCGCTCTGCACCGCCACTGAGATCAGTTTCAACTTGTTGGGTTTCTCCGCTGCACTCTCAACCAACATCATGGACTGGTAAGGCGGCGGCCAGTGTGGCTGGGAGCAGACTGTGGCTGGGAGCAGACTGTGGCTGGGAGCAGACTGTGGCTGGGAGCAGACTGTGGCTGGGAGCAGACTGTGGCTGGGAGCAGACTGTGGCCCTGCATGCCCTACAGAGCTAACCTTCCTATCTCAACTTCCTCTTTTCCCCGTACAGCCTACAGAATGTCTTTTCCAAGAAGCTTCTAAGTGGCGATAAGTACAAATTCAGGTTAGTTCGTTGTCGGTTCCCCACACGTCAGTTAAATGGGTTTCAGCAGTTATGGTTTAAATGGCGCATTATAGAAAGCTGAAATTCTCAAAGAATGTTAACAGGCTGTTGCCACATGCAAATTGTCTTTAGTGGAAAACGGCATAAAATACTGCAGATTGCAGAATTTGTGACGGGAAGCGTCGACTAAGGAAGTGGCTGATAGTTATTAATATGTGGATGGAAATAGAATCTGTCTGCAGAAATGCATGCTGGCTGTCAGATGAGCTCTGACGCGGGGGTCCGCTGGAGCAGAATATGACATTTCCAAGGGACAGAGCTCTCTGTCTGGCAGAGGATTGGGGGGTAGTGGGTTACTGTCTTCAGTCTCCATCTTATGCTCTGGTTCTCCGCAAATAATTGACTGTCACAGTTCTCACTGCTCAGTTAATTTGGGTCTTCATATTCAAACAAATTAAATATTTGAATATTAAATATGATTACAAAATGAATTGTCCTGTGTGTGTGTGTGTGTGTGTGTGTGTGTGTGTGTGTGTGTGTGTGTGTGTGTGTGTGTGTAAGACGAGCTGGTTAGCATTTCGGGAGAGAGCACATTTCACAGCATTGTGGACATTGCAGTCATGGTCGGATTTTTCTGCCCAGTCCTCCAGAGCTGCAGTTCTACACCAGTGCTGCTGCGGTCCTGATGCTCATCCCAGCCTGGATTTTCCTGCTGGTATGTGACGGCGGCTCCCTAGCAGCAGGTTAATGGCGGCCAGTCCCCCCGCGTACATGTGGCACTTTGTGTTTGAGGAACCGGCAGCAGATCCTGAAAGCTCAGAACATCGCTACTCTTATGGGACCGTTCTGCGGTTGGGTTTACACTGCAGTGAGGGCTAGAAGCAGATTACAGTATTAAAATAAATATTAGCTATTAAAGAATCAAGAGGGGATCAGAATGCTAACCTGTTATCTGTCACTGTTGCGACAGCAGTGTCGTCTTAATGAAGTACGTTCTTGACACCCGGCTGCCCAGGATTGGATGAAGTCAGACATTTTGCACACTCCATGCAGTGGCTAATGCCCGTACATTACACTTCTCAGATCACTCTCACTCCGGTGTGTGCTGTCCGGCTTCTCGAATTTGATTGTCGCCAAACAAAGAGTGATTATACATATCAAAACGCAGACTGGAGGTTTGCTTGTTGTTTGATTAGGCATTATAGGACCTGCAATGCCTGGGTGTGAATGAGCTAGTATTTATCCAAAGGGTGTGGATGGCTTTCGGAGGACTGTGGCTTTTCCCGCACATTCCGACGACTTGCTTCTGTGGATGCAGGACATCCCTGTGATCGGGAAGGATGGCCAAAGCTTCCGCTTCAGCCAGGACATCGTTCTGCTGCTGCTCTTCGACGGGGTCCTCTTCCACCTGCAGAGTGTCACCGCTTATGCCCTGATGGGGCGGATCTCGCCCGTCACCTTCAGGTCAGCCCCGGGGTCGAGCCGTGAATCCACGCGGCCGTCGTCGTTTCGGAGGCTGGCTGATTTGACCAGGAGGAGGATATTTAGCTGTGCAAGCAGTTGTAGCATTATGTCAGAAAAATGCTGTGCTGGTTATATCGAATGCAGCAGTGTTACGCCTGAGTGACGGAATTGTATGAACAGACTTGGGCAGGAGGTGGTACTTTGGCTAATGTGCTGTTAAGGCTAATCTGAGTGACCCCCCCTCTCGTCCCTCAGCGTGGCGAGCACCGTCAAGCACGCCCTGTCCATCTGGCTGAGCATCATTGTGTTCAGCAACCAGGTGACCCTGCTGTCGGCGGCCGGCACCGTGCTGGTCATCATCGGCGTCATGCTGTACAACAAGGCCAAGCAGGTCCAGAGGAAAGCGCTGCTGGCCCAGGTCAGCGCCCAGGCTGCGGAGGCCAACCACACACCCCTGCTCCAGGAGAGCGAAATCAAGGCGTCCCCGTAGTGCCGAGGGGACAGACCTCGGGGGACTGGGGGACTGCCGGGGAGGGGGGCTATGATCTGGATTTGGATTCTCTTAGCTTCATCCTGCCATGCGAAGGGACCCTGGAGTGTTTGGTCAGTCCCGTGAATACGGTGGAATTCCTGTGGTTTCACACAATGAAGATGTGCGGATGGCACCCAGTTTAGATTTTCTGTTCCTGTTTTCTGTTTCTGTTTCAGGATGAAGTTTAAACCGATATCCTGATCTTACAAGAGAGCAAAATAATTTGGACATTCTTTCATGTCAATGCTAAAAATGACCATATTAATTACTGACTATACATTTTTTAAAACAAGCGGAGGTAGAGGAGGAAGAAAGCACTTTCTGATGTATGGGGGGGGTACACAGGGTGGGTACCTGCATGCCAGGGTGTCTTTCAGCAGATTATTAAACAGGAATGAACCACCCATTAGCAAGAAAGCTGCAGAATGGACGACTCGGGTTTCTACAGATTTTTTTTTGTTTGTTTTTCTTTGCGTGAGAATTGATGGAAGACTTTTAAAGTAGAAGGCCCAAGGACTGCAGACACTTTTTCCAGGTCTGAAAGGGTTTCCCTTCGATTTCTGAGCCTGCAGATCCATCAGACCTGAAACTCACACCACCGGTGATATTTCTGCTTAACGAGCAGCAGTGCTGAACTTGGGATATTTATCTTTTTCAGTCTGTTCTCTCGATCAGATTAAATTACGTCTTTTCTTAAATAAATAGCTAGTATCTGCCATTGATTGCATCTATGCCACACTGACACTCTCTCCCTGGACAGTTTGGTGGTGTTTCTTGGGGTCACTATGGCAACAAGCCAGCATTAAGTTTTTTTTTTTTTTTTTTTTTTTGGATCGTATCACATTGTTTCTGTTTTGGAAGTGTTTGTTTTTTGTCTCATAAAGTGGAGTCCACATTGTATGACCAGCAAGAACAGAGAGCCTCATAGGGAAAATGCCAGATAACAAGGAAAAATGCAGTCCCCTTTTTGCATGACCTCGTGAGTTGTTTCTATTTTTATAATAATCTGTAGGTTCCCATTTTGGAACCTTGCAGTGTTTCTTCACTGTGGTATTGATAAAATGACCTTTTTATTGCAGAGTCATGTGACCTGAAGGTAGTTTGATGCTTAATATGTAAACTTTCAAACCTCCGAAAGCAATTAAAGTAATACTGTACTTATGTAAAATAATAGTGGATTAGAGCACAGCACAAGCGAGATGGCGATTTTAAGATCATCACGTCGGGAAGTTCACGTTGTGTGTTCTACATGCATGAGCTGTCTAATTCAGTGCGTGAGATATATCGTGCTGTTGCTCTGTAACACATAAAGGTGCCTACTTAAACATTCTCAGTGTTTCCTCTGTAAATCTTTTTACCAATGTGTAACTCATTTTTACATACAGTCACATTACAATGTAATGTAAATATGTCCGTAAGCTTCTAAAGTTCACCAGAATTACGGCACATTGATATTGTTGTGGAGTATCGGTCTCGTAATTCTAACAAAAGATTGTTTTTTTTAAAAAAAAAAAAAAACTCCATGTATGTGTAGAAGCCTTAACCCTATGTTTGTACATTCCAAAGTACATTTCATGTTTACAACATGAACTTTGTATCAGCAGTTTTGACACTGTGATAATTTTTTATTCCCCACCAATAAATAATTTCAGTGATTTTCTTTTTATAAAGGAGTTGAACATATCTGAACATATCTAATCATAAAAACAGTGAGCAGGATAATGTTCCCTTATGTGTTGAGAAATTGCAGTGGTACTTCGACCCATGAACAGTCCTGTTCACCAACAAATCAGGTTAAAGACCAGATGTTTGAAATTTTTTTGCACTGGTTCGCAAACCGTGTTTCAGGCTGCGAACACACAAGCATCCCCCAAAAGCGCCCCAAAAAAATCACCTGAAACACAAAGAAGTGTACATCATGCCCAAGAACGGCTGTGGAATGTATAAAAAAACTTGTTGTAGATGTATGTCTTTATTATATCTCTTCAGAGGTCGAATATCTGAAAAAAGAGAGAACGTTCTGTTATAGCGGTACCTTTCGGTGATTGATAAACATGTTTGTGATGGTTTTTAACAGTCACATATCTATACATAAAATTACAGTACTTCATTAATAACATAAATTAATTCCTATTTGTTATATTCTCCATTCACACATAGTGGCAACTGTGCATTGTTTGTTCACAGTACAAACAAAGAAGTTCATCGCCATACAATACGTGGCATCACGAAATGTACATAACTTTAGGCATATGAAAATAATATACAGTATAATCACATTTTCAAAATTACTGTGTTTTTTTTTTTATTACTGTTTTTGACTGTTACTCAGTCTTTTAATGTTAATTCTTTAGTTTTTTGAGGGATGTTTTGTGGTTCTTTTCCATGTTTTGGCGTCTTTCGAGTGACCAGCCCGCCAACAAGCGTATGCTCAGTAGTGTACTGGTCCGCATTCCGTAACGTATGTTCTCTCTTTCCCTTTTTTGCTATTTGAGGTGATATTAATTTAAGTCTATTTTCTTGTTCACAGAAAAACATCAAAACATTGAAAAATTTCAGTGTTTCTGAGGTTCGAACAAATTATTTGTATTTATATTATTTTAAATGGGAAAAATTGATTCGGGTCGCCAACTGAGTCCTCGAACGAATTAAGTTTGTGAGCTGAGGAATGACTGTACTGTTTTATCACAGGAGAGCCAGTACAACTAAAATATGAATTGTTCATTTTTGGGAGTGTTTTATAGGTACAGTATTGATCTCAGTGTGAAATCTTCAGCTAAATTCAGGGTGGGCATGATTAATCTATATTAAAAACCAGACCTATGTTCTTATTGCCCTTGAAACAGACAAATACAAGAGAAGATGAACCTCATTTAATCCAGAGGGAATTCTTGTCGATATGGTAGCAAGGTAGGTGAAGTGTACACAATCCTAATATCAAGAGAAAGTATTTTATGTAAAGACATAAAAAAATACAGAAGGTGTATGAGGAATAAGAAAAAAAGTGTGTCATGCTGGACTTTATCTCCTGCAAAGGTAGGTCAGTACCAGACATGTGGCTGTCAGGGGGGGGGGGTGGATTCCCAGAGGATGTTCTGTGATGCCTGGTGACAGCAGACAGGAAGAATCCCCAGATGATCTTCTCAGTACGACGTGGTGGAATAAGTCATTGACTTTCAAGTAACAAGTGTTGAGCCTTGATCCTCCAGTTCCGAGTCACGTCCCGAGTCTAAACCAACAAGTCTCGAGTCAAGATTGTCTAGTATCAAGTGTCCCAAGTCCTAAGCTACACGTCCTAAACAAGTCTGATTATAATTTTTTTTTCTAATTAACTGCCACAACATAGTTATAAGTATATGGTATATTCCTCATACCCAACCTGAATATAGCCAAAGTCAATGACTTGTTCCTACCTCTGGTCAGTGAATAAAGATGTGCCAGCATAGCGCCCCCTGGAGCAGATGGGCAGCATTATTCATAATCTAATCTTGCACAGCACCGCTCTGTTGTTTGTCCAGTCCAGCATGCTGTTCCAGTGGAGCCCCAGGTCCTCGTAGCCCTGCACCAGTGCTGCTTCTTCCCCCTGGATGGTGACTAATTTCACGGGCTCTTTGACATTTCCAACCACCTGCACTAGTCCTCTGTACTCTGACTCTCCGCCATTGCTGATGTCTCCTACAATGGAGGAGTCATCTGAGAACTTCTGGTGTTCTACTGGAAGTCCGATGCCCAGATCTCTTCCAGAAATGGGGCATCTTCTGCAAGCTTCAGTTAAGGTTTTTTGAGAAAACTACAATGCCATAAATTTCTGCAAAAAATATGATCAATTTGACAAAGTTTAAGTTCCCAACTCAAATAACTGTTATTATTTTAGTTGTGTTGTAAAATCTAAGTTGAGCAGAACTATTTTATTGAAGACATTTAAATGATCTAAGTTGATCATTAAATTGAAAAGCTAACCTCGAACCAACTGTACAGTATATGCAGATAGGTTGTCGTTTTGAAGTCAACATATTGTTTTAGATTATCCTGACTGGACTTTAAAAAGCAATAAGTTACATGTATTTAGTAGATGCATTTATCCAAAGTAACATACATTTTCAGAAAGCAGGGTCACCAGCAAAAAAAATAAAAAATCTTAAAAATTCAAATGATCAGAAATGATTAGATTCCAAAACAATCTAAAACTCAAATTACACTTCAACAAGTGTGTAGAGCATATATATCAGGCCACTTTTTCATAGTACATAATGCATGTCAACAAAATTTTTACAAAATTTTTTTGAGGAAAGCAGCCCAGTGCAGAAATCAAATCTGCAAATCTCTCAAACACTGAGAACAATAAGCCTAACACAAAATGCAATGATTAGTACGAGCATTACAATGTGTACCTTCAGTGCGCTAGACGGCAGCACCGCAGTTTATTCTCTTTAGAATGGCCGCAACGCGGTACGCGGACTACGCGCTTCATCGTACAGGAAATACGTCATTTCAAATCGGCTTAGACCGGAAGTTTGTCGTTTTGTTGGTGCCGCGGTGGTGGAGTGCGCGGGGGAAATTCACAGGTTAGTGAAATGATTCGTTTTTTTTTGTAACCGAGCAGCATTATCTGAATTTATGTTATTCGCTGAAACGATTTGTAAGAGTAAGTATATGTGATTTTGTTTTAGTATAAAACCATTTATATGGAAATTTTGGTTTCGGCCTAGAAGTATGCTTCGTCAACTGATGTTTATTTCGTTTAAAGGTAAAATGGGTAAAATGCTAAAAATATTCTGAACAGTAGAAGTGTCCACCGATGCATTTTAGATTTACGAAGATTTTATGATATGTACCCCGGACCTTAGTGAGTGAATTATAATTTGTTAAGTACTTAATCTGATCAGTTCTCCTCGTGGTTGTTGAGAGACATTTACCGGGAGCAGGATGAACAGGCCCCCACCTCCACAGCCAGCTGGCGGTGTGTTTTGACAGCTACATGGGCGCTATTCGTTTCAGATGTCAGACTCTAGTCAGCTGTTTCCTTTAGGTTGTGCATCCGTAAGGTAGCAATTCTTATTGAGCTATAGTCAGATGTTTTTACTCTCTTGGAATTATTTACTGTGGCCGTGACACCTAGGATGCCCTTTACTCGGATACGTGTTCAAACAAAATGAAAACTTTTATTTAGATTATTCTTTTGTATTTTCCGCTTTTGTGAAAGTATCCCAGTCACCTAAGCGCATACTATTAACACTGCTAACGTTAAGAACACAGTATTTCCGTATTAGGTCCCAAACCAGAGTGCCCTGGGACATTTTTCCAGCAGACCCATCATAATGCTCACTGTCTGTTGTTGTGTTGTACATTTCATACATTTAGTATGAAGTTACTAAGAAATAGTGTTTGATGCTGCTGTTGTGGGACTTGCACTCATGGGTTTCACTCATGCAGTTTACCAAATGTAAGGTGATGTGACACACAAATTGAGGCAAGTTTTACCTGATTGGATAAATTCCTATGTAATCGCAATCTGATTGGCGTGTTCCTCTGTCACCCTCTTTGCCTGGCATTCAGAGCTACGCCAGCGCTGATGGGGGACGAGAAAGACACCTGGAAGGTGAAAACACTGGATGAGATTCTTCAGGAGAAGAAACGCAGGAAGGAGCTGGAAGAAAAGTCTGATGCGAAGCGTCAGAAAATTGTAAGCTTTTTCCTGAGTCCTTATTGAAAGTTACACCTTTCTTCTCTGATTGCTTGCGACACGCTGTGCTCATGATTAGCATTAGCTTGGCAATAACACTGTTATATGGTGATGGTTTAAAGTCCTGCCCGTACCGTCAAGAAAATTATTTGAGGGTCGCTTGTTGTGTTTTTTGAAGGTGGAAGAACGTGAAGCCAAACGAGACACCCCAGAGGAGGGTGAGCTCCGGGACAACAGAATGGAAATAACGATCCGGAACTCGCCATACATTAGGGAGGATTCTACAGAGGACAGGTACCGCTGGGGAGAATGTGGTAAAATGAAAGTGACCTGCAATGAGATCTTCAATAACAGCGTCTCTTAGCATGTTCCACAGACTTACTTAGTAAGGTATCTCTGAACTGTGCCTTAACAGGGTGCTTAAGCGATAGTGTTTTCGCCGATTGGGTGTACGAACCCCCGTCCCCAGACTGTAGTATCACAACATTTTATTTTTATTTGTTCTATAAAATACCTGCGTGCATCAATATGTGTGCATATCATAAATATCAGGATAAGCAATGGCCCATTAGCCAAAAGAAAAGTTGCGTTACTCTCATAACATAGGGTGACCAGATAATCCATGTCATCCCGGACACCTTGAGCTACTTCAGGGTTTACAGACTACCTTAAAACCGAAAGGCTCCTGCGCTTGGCTAAATTAAGTTCTTCTTGTGCTTTGACTGGTTTGTTTCCTTGACTGAAAGACTCATCCAGCTGTTTCACATTAACATTAGTGACACGTGCATGGTTATAGGAGACTGACCAATCAGCACACAGCAAGAACTCGGTGCTT